TAAATATACCAATGAATATAGAAGGAAAAAATTAAAACAATTCAGGTCAGCAAAATCCCAGACACCAACCAATGCCCATGTCCCTGTTTTGGATCAAGTTTTGTTTTGTTTTGTTTTGTTTTTAAAGATTTATTTATACAAGCACTGGATACAGTCAGAAGTGTGGGAGGGTGAGAGAATTCACCAGAGCCAGAATGGGGAACAGAACAGGCATAAAAAAAAAAGAAGTAGTAAGTGAGAGTTTGAGTATATGAATTGGATTCTAAAAGAATTTAGTTACTGAGAATCCATTTTGCAGATTCTAGTCATCTCTTGGTCAACCTTCTGGAAGTTCAACACCCTATCTGTGAATTGCCAATTGAAAATACTATCTATTTCTTTACATCTTGCTTTATTGAAAGAAGAATTTAATGCAAATAATAAATATAAGTACTAAAAGAATATATATGTTAGGAAATTCAAGAGTATACTAGAGAATCAGTATCTGGGAAAGTAATAATATTGTCAGTCTCTCAGAGTAAGAAGATAAAACTGATTATCTGTTTAATGGTGTCAATCAACACCTGGTTTGTAAGGTCTAATAGACAGTTGAATGGCATAATCTATGTCATACATCTGGCACGTCACAGAGGTCATCAAATGTTAGTTCCCTGCCTCCCAGGAAACTGAGGAGATGTGGGTTTGTCATAGAACCTTGGATCTGTGGTGATGTTAAGACCTGAAGTTGGTGCTGGAGGTTTGGCCTTTGTTACGACTGTAAGGATAAAAGGGAGGGATGAATTTGTACTAGCAGAGTTTATTGTGCTTGTGTAAATCCTTTCTCAATACACTCACCCAAGAAAGAAAGGGTGTAGACTGAACAAAACAGCAATGTTTGGGTCTGTGTGCCCCCTGATAGGGGAGAAAATGCCCAATGGAAAGAAGATATGGGAGACCAATTTCGGTTTAATATAAAGGAATATAAAGGAATATTCTTTTTTACTAAACTTTTAAGTTTTCTTACGTCGTTGTTCATTTTTTGTATAGTATTTGATTTCTCATCTCAGGTGTAGTCCCCATAAATCTCCCACTGCCTCATTACCTGTGAACTGTCACCATAGTCCCTTGTGCTCTTCCCGCCCCTGTTTTGACCCCTCTCCCTCCCATCTTGATGCTTCAGGTCTATAGTTTGCCTGCAAGTTTTTTTTTTTTTTTTTTTTTTTTTTTTTACACTGCATCCAGTTTCCTATATTCCTCCTATAAATGAAACCATCTGATGTTTTTCTTTTTCCTTCTGACTTTTTTCACTGAGCATAATCCCTTCTAGTTCCATCCATGTTGCTGCAAATGGCATGAGTTTATCATTTCTGATGGCTGAATTGTATTCCATTATGTATATAGACTACATCTTCTTGATCCAGTCATCTGCTTTGGGGCATTTCGGTTGTTTCCCTATCTTACCAATTGTAAACAGTGCTGCAATAAACATAGGAGTGCAGGTCTCCTTTTGAATTAATATTTTTGTATCTTTTGGGTAGATTCCTAGGAGTGGAATTGCTCGAGTTTCAGTAATTTGAGGCTCCTCCACACAGCTCTCCATAGTATTTGGGCCTATTTTCATTCCTATCAGCCACATAAGAGGGTTCCTTATTCTTCCTCCCCTGTTTTTTTTTTTAAATTTTTTTTTTTTGTTTATAGAGGCATGTTTTTATTTATTTATTTATTTATTTTATTTGTTTGTTTACTTATACAAGCACTGGGTACAGTCATAAGCGCGGGAGGGTGAGAGAATTCACCAGAGCCAGAACTGGGAGCAGAGCAGGCAGAAGGACTGAAGGACACTGCTGGGGGGAGCAGCGGGTGGCAGGAGAGGTCTGCGCGCCATGTGGGACCCTCCGTTGGTGGCCGGGGAGCAGCCGGGGATCGAACCGGCGCCGCAGAGGCCGTGGGCAGCTTCGCAACCCAGCGCTCAACCGCTGCGCCACCGGGGAGGCCCCTTCCTCCCCTGTTTTGACCAGCATTTGTTGCCAGTTTTTTGAACATGGGCCTCTCTCACCAGTGTGAGGTGGTATCTCATTGTGGTTTTAATTTGCATTTCCCTGATTGTAAGTGATGTTGATCATTTTTTCATATGCCTGTCAGCCTTTTGCGATAAGGAAGATTCTTCCGACATGTGAAGCACAACAAATATGGTATATGTTGCTTCAGGAAACTGACTTTTTCATTCCTGGAGATGTTTGCATACAAGCTGGACATTTATTTGGCTGGAATGATTTTGAAAGGATTCAAGAAATGTATGACTGCATGAACTGCTTGAAATTTCTTGCCATCATCGTTTTCTGGTTTTCTGATGAAGATTCATCGAATAAAGGGAATATTAAGCAAGTTTTAATCTCAGGAATGACATAGATCTCTAGAGAACAGAAATAGACATTACTGCTCACCTCTGTGCTAGTCCTAATATTTATCCTCACCTGTCATTCTTATCCTGCAGGAAGCTCCTGTCTATCCCATTACTTCAGCTGGCAATTTCACCATTATCTTTGACTCCCTCCAATTACCATTCTCTCCTCAAATGAATGCAACTGACAAATTCAGATGTTGTTTTTTTATAACATGTCAGGATCTATTTGTAGATTGCTTTTCTAGCTCTTAGTCCTTTTTTTCCTTTCAGCAATTTTTTTTTCTTTAATACATGCAATATATTACTACCCCAATCAAAACTTCCTACAGTTTTCCGAGGTAGGGTCTCAACTTTTATCTCTTTTCTTTTCAGTTGCTTTCAAGAGTCTTTGCCAACATATCATGCAAAACAATTTGCCAACACCTTTTTCCTATTCTGTGTTCTATTTTGTTTTGTTCTCTAAGCTCTTGAGTCCTCACATTGTTCCTTTCCCGATTCATGACATTCTCTGCAGTCTTTTGATTTTGAAAAAAGTAGATTTAATACCTACAAAGCCACTCTTTGTTTTCTCTTTGATGTTTCTGTGGAAAGCTTAATCTTCTATGATTCTTTTAAAATTCCCTAAGGGAGAAAAGTCAGTTAAAGTAAATATTGGAAGTCAAAAGAAGTAAGGAATAAAATCTCACTTAAATGGTGTGGTGCTGTCTGCTGAAGTTTGTGGATAGATTATGATATGGTTGGTTCTCAAGAAGAGATAACATCTTATTAACTGGCTGGACCATGATTCTCTCTTCAGTTGGCATACTTTCAAAAGGATTTTTTATTGTTTGCATCTCAGTGTACAGAAATTTTGGAGCTCATGATTTTGATTTTTTAATTTTATACATTTTTACATCTTTCATTTTTTTTACAAGATTGATTTCTCCTCTCAGGTGTAATCCCTATAACATTCCCACCACCTGTGTACTACCAGTGACCCATCACCATCATCTCTTGTCTTCTTCCCTCCCCTGTTTTTTTTTTTTTTTCTTTAGAGATTTATTTATTTATACAAGCACTGGGTATAGTCAGAAGCACGGGAGGGTGAAAGAATTCACCAGAGCCAGAGTGGGGAACAGAGCAGGCAGACTGATGAAATACACTGCTGAGGGGAGCAGCGGCATGGCAGGAGAGGTCTGTGCACCATGTGGGGCCCTCGCCAGCAGCTGGGTTTCGAACGGGCGCTGCAGCCCAGCGCTCAACCACTGGGCCACCAGGAGAGGCCCACCTCCCCTGTTTTGATCCCTCTCTTCTCCCCCATTCTCCTCCCCTCACCACCTCTGCTGAATGTCTCCAATTTATAGTTTGCCTCAGTGTTTTGTCTTTTTTTCCCCAATTCATTGTTTGATTTCCTTATATTTAATTTTTTGTTATCATTTGCCTCTAGAATATTTTATGCTTTGAAAGTTGTCTTCCAGTATTACATAATCTCATTGTATACTTACCACTAACTAGAAGAGTGGGCAAAACAGAATTTTTTCATTCCCATTTATCAGATCAGATCACTGGTCTTTAGCAATTAAGGAATTTTATGAAGGCTGTAACTCTTCACAATGCATTCAGAACTGGAATTTAAATCTTTTGCCCAGCCCAGTGTTCTGTAAGATTTAAATATTTCATTAAGTTTCAGCAGCCCATTTACCTTCTCAGAATTCACTTTTCTCCCTAATGTATTTTAGTAAAAAACCCATCATTAATTACTATTTGTGCAAATCTTACATGAAAAAAAGTCTGGCAATCTCTAAATCTGAATATGATTTGTACATTTTTAAGTTACCAGTTATTTGACTAACAGTATAACTGCCTGCAACAGACATTCGATTGATAGACTCTTAGGAGAGACTCTTATTTTCAGTATTTCACTCAGACACATCTGCTGAATACATTGAGGAAAGAATGCATTTCAGCTGAGTAGGGTACTTAGAAGTGGAAAAGAGTTGCTCCAATCATAATTCTTTTTCTATTTTAATTTCCACGTGCCAGGGAAGCTTGTCTATTTATCACCTCTCTCAGACAAACAACCTTTATACTTAAAGGATTTTTAACTTCTTAGAGCCTGATGACTAATAAATCACTGTAAAGTTATTCCAACATGGAAAATAAACATTCTTTATAACTCTGCAGCACTTTTTACTTAATATCAAGGTTTCTCCCTAATGAAATAGCATTTTTATAGGAATAAGAACAGTTAGAAAACTTTGAGGGAAAATCAGAAATAAGGCAACTTATTCTTAGGCTGAATATTGAAATCACAACAGGAAACACACACATATTCACTTTCCTTGTTTGAAATAAATATGGAGTTTGAGAAAAAATGCTGTGTATTACAGTTCCCATGGGAAAAAAAAATACAAGTTTGCCCTAGTACTGTAAGTAGAGTTTCTGAAAAATAACAGAATAAAATGTATTTAAAAAACAAAAAGCTTTTACTCCAGGCTATTCTAATGAAGAAAAAGTGTTCCAAATGTGAACTAATGAAGTACAAAGTAATGAATATTTAATTTGTATAATTTACCAAAGTGCTTTTAGAAATCAGAGCTACATTCTTCATAAACATAATGTTCGTTAGGCGGTAACTGTAGCTTGCATCCAATTACCATATCGCTCCTGTATAACTTGAGCGTCCTGTGACACAGAGAAACAGCCGGAGCTATCTGCAGCGCAAAGATAGAAATGATGGAAAAGGAGGCAAAAAAAACTGTTTGGGTGGCGAAATTTGACTAATTTACCTTTGGCATGGAGAGCATAGCAGACTTTGTATCACAGAAGAGAGGACAGCACTTGCCTGGGACCCAGAAGTTTCCATCTGGGCTCACCACCCTTCTCAACAGCATTTTGAGAGGTTAAAATAAAAACAAAATTACTTTGATGGCTCAGTGGGACACATTATTGCATTCTTAAAGGTAAGAGGAGTGCTACTTAAAACCTGACTGATAACATGTCAGATCACGCTGAGCAGTTTTTAGTAGAAACAAACTTGCCATGTGATATGAATTCTAATGTGGCCACTAAGACTGCTTGCAGAGACTTTGGAGTCCAAAAAGCAGCACTCTTGTCTGTAATTATAATAGGAGACGATTATTTTTTCTCTTGAAGCACATCTCCTTCCCTCTCTATTCTTTTATCAACTTGGCAGCCAAATTGCCCCTGCTCTGAAGGGGTGGAGCCAATTTCTCCATTTTTATTTGTGGAAAATCTTGAAATCTCTGCTGAAAATCAAATTTAGCAGCACAATACATGATATTCTGGCAATAACGCAGAATAAAGGAAAATTGACTGAAGATGTTTCTTAACGTTGAAAACTCTCCTTTCCTATTCTCTTTGCTTTGTAATGTTTCTCTTCAGTTATTCTGGGTCTCCATAATTCAACATGCGAGAAATCATTAAATATTATTCTGGTGTTGACCCAGTTGCTATTACTAATTTCACCCCACGTCAACCAATAGGAGTCACAGAGTAACAGAAACAACCTCTTCCTTGGGGAAATGGTGTAGGTATCTGATTCATAATAAAAGAATAATAGCGCTACCTGAGAGCTGCAAAGAGTTTGGGGATAAGGTGCAACAATTGAATACGAATTAATATGGGAACCATTAGCGCATAAGCCTGCCAAGGATTTCCATTAAGGTTTTTAGAGGAAAATGATTTTGACAAATTATATATTTTATGAGCAAAAAATATGCAACCTGCTGCATTTGGCCCATTGTCCTTCCATTCCTGAAAGGAATTGCATTGCTGTGAGTCATAGTAATTGGATTCCAATTCCTGCAACAGCACTGTCGATTAGCCAGGATGCCCGCCTGGAAACGCTTAGTGACAGCTGGCAGGTATGGCCCTCTGGGAGCCCATGGGATTGAACTTAGATCCTGTCCGAGGGAAGGGAGAATCTCTCAGGAGGGCATTTTGGCAACTTTAGGTTATCATTTAAAAAAATTGATTGGCAAAGCTCTTTCATTTAACTTGTCATTTAGAGAAGCGGGGAAATGCAAGTTTACTTTAGAATAGGAATAAGCTCATCATCGAGATAGCTAAAACGAATACATTATGGGACTAAGTCCTGGAGGAAGAACTTGCTAGGGTATTAAATGCCACACCACACAAAGATTATGGAATTTTAGTGTTAGTTAGAGGTAGGGTACAAAGAACAAAAAACCTTTCACCTATCTTGACCTGAATAAATGAATTTGAGGATAAAGACAACCATCCAGAATACTTTATAGACTCACAATATTTTATAGCATTGAAGGAACATTAAAGAATTTAAAGACTTAAGTTTATTTTATTTTTTATTTTTTTATTTTTGTGGGACCCTCGCTGGCAGCCGGGTAACGAACCAGCGCTGCAGAGGCTGCGGGCAGCCTCACAGCCCAGCGCTTAACTGCTGTGCCACCAGGGGAGACCCTTAAAGACTTGAGTTTAAAGCATGAGCAGGAAATCTAGTTGAGGGTATTGAAGTAGTCAAATGACAATAAAGGAGAAAATGAAGAAGTGAGACTTGTGTGTTGTTATATTATGGGAGTCACTGAGATTGCCGATAGTGAGACAAAAGAAAACTCTGAGGGAAGAGGAACGTAAGGGAGCAGGAGGGAGCAGGAGGGAGCAGGAGGGAGTAGGAATGCAAGCATCTTTTTATGTGTACTTTGTAGTTGAATTAAGGGAAGTAAAGGCAATTCTTGTATTCTAGGGTCTTTATTTTTCAAGTAAGAGGCAAAAGTTAAATGTGCTGACAGAAGGACATACACACAGATTTGGGGGTTTTATAAGAGTGAAAAGTCAGGGAATATGTATAATAAGAACCTCATGAAGTTAGAGTCAATTAGAGCTAAGTAACTGTCCAGCAGCTTTGGTAAGTCAGTTATTAGTTAACATGGGTTCGTTGGGATGTCAGCTGGTGCCACTGTGTTCCTTTTTCTAACACTGTTCCACAGTCAGTAGTAAGAGCGGAGTGATTTGAAGTTTGGTATCTCCCAGCTCTGGAAATGGCCATGATGGATATTTTCAGGATCCAAGAGGCCTTTAAAACACCAAAGAGCAAGAATTTATAAATATATGTTTGTATACAGGATACATGGAGTGGGGGGTGGGGAGAGATGACTTTAGGAAAAACCAAGTAGTCCACAAACAGGAATCAGACAGACCTCATGTCTCATGTCCTTCACTGTACTGCCAGCTTTATGATCTTGTTCAGTAAAATTCTCGTAACTACTATTATCTGGAACAGCCATTTGGTGGATTATTTGGAAAAGATCCTGTGCAAGAATTCAAGCATCATTTTGTGTTCGTGTATGTTCTAATATGCTTAGTATACAATGCAGAAATCTTTGTGGGGGGAGTCATTATGAATATAACTATGTTTGAAAAATTCTTTATCTTCTCTTTCATGTAAACCACACACATAAAATATCAACTATAACTTTCACACACTGGATCAGAGTGCAGAATTCTTTTGGAATTCTCTAATGTTTAAATAAATGCCACAATGATGCTGTGATGTTTCATTTAATGTATCTAGTTGACTGGGTCATGGAGTGTCCAAATATTTGACCAGAAATTATTCTGGGAGTATGTGTGAGGATGCTTCTGAATGAGATGAATATTGAAATTGGTAGACTGAGTAAAACAGATTGCTCTCCCTAATGGTGGGCCTCGTCCAATCAGTTGAAGCCCTGAATAGAATGAAAAGTCTGGGTAGGAGGAAACTCTATCTGCCTGACTGAACTGGAACACTGTTTTTTTTCTGGCCTTTGATTCAGCCTGAAGCATTGACTCTCCTTGGGTCTCAAGCCTGTAAACTCTTAGAATGAAAAAACATCTTGGATCTCATGTGTCTCTAACTTGCCAGCAGCAGATTTTGGGACTTCTCAGCTTGCACAATTATGTGAGTCAATTCCTTATAGTGCACATGCCCATGTGTACACATACACACATACACACAATTGGTTTTTTCTCTGGAGAACCCACAATAATTGAGATGCCTAATTTGTCAGCAATTATTCTTTTATTTTTTATTTTTTTTGTGGGACCTTCACCGGTGGCCAGGGATCGAACTGGCCCTGCAGAGGCTGCAGGCAGACTCGCAACCCAGCGCTCAACCGCTGCGCCACCAGGGGAGGCCCTATTCTTTATTCTTTATCAATGGTCTTTCCAAAGCTTTCAATTTCCCATAAATATAATTTCTTTGCTCTCATTCTCACATCTTACTAATATACATATTCTTTAATTAAATGATGAAACTTCAATAACAGCTACACAGTCATGATTAGTTTTATTTATTTTTTTTGTCACTAGTAAATTTTTTTCAGGGAAAATTTCTATTTTTATTTTATGTCTTTAAAATTATTTTATATATTTTTACATAATTTTTCATTTTTGTACAATGTATGCATTTTCATCTTGGTTATGATTTGTTTTAGAACAAACTCAAGCTGTGAAAACAGGCGGTTCATTAGAAGAGACTTTTGACTATACGTAGTGGGAAAAAATATGATTGTAAACCTAATTGTGAATGACTAAATCTCCTTCATGTGTGAGCCTCTTATTTCAGGTCCAGTGATGCACATACACATATATGAACTCCGTAATCTCCGCACACTTCACCAGATCTGACCCACAAATGATGGAGGCAAAGAACAGATACTCTGCTGGTGGGAATTGCTACAAAGAGACTCTATTCCTTCCATAAGTTTAGGTTGGAAATCAAAATAAGATACTGTAATTCATTGTAGTGTGCTCTTCAAGACTTAGATCAATAACTTGTGCAATTGTTTTACTTATAAAGCAAGTTAGGAGGCACATGATTTTAGGGTTTGAATAAAGTCACTGTCTAGTACTACCATGTATTGCTAAAGATTTCTAATCTTCCAGACCAACTCAGAGGTATCCCAACCTATTCTTTCCTGGGCTTTCATGTATTCCTAATTCTTACCTTGCAGGAACCAACTTATCTATCTCTCTGTCTCTGTCTCTCTCTTTTAAAGTCTTCAGAACACATATCAAGACTGTAGCTTTACAGTCTTCCCTTTCTGGATACTTTCTCTCCTGGTATATACTTTGGATGCCTGTATATATGTAGTGTGGCCATTTACACTGCTACCATTCAGACAATTTAGCCCACAGTTGTCTGAGTTAGACCCATGCCCATGTTATACTGAACTTTTGGTGAAAGGAGGGAAAACATTTTGAAGTATTATTGGAATTAAACTAGAAAGAAGTGATCATAGGACCCAAGCCAGATTTTGGGGATGTACAGTGGACTTAGAGAAAAGGGTAGGGCCAAAATTCTTGTAACAAAAGTAAGATGTTATGCAATGAGATATTATGGTCAGCAAAGAATTATATTCCTTTTTAGGTAGCAAAAAGTAATTTCAAGTGATGAGATTACTGGTGTACCTGACAGGCAGGAACAATTTTTGGAAATATTTTTGGCACATACTTGGAAATCAAGTCCAAAGATTTGTGCTTACTGTTTCTACATAATGAACCTATTGTTAATCAAAATTTTCAGTTTCTATTTTATGCTAATACTCTTGTTGGCAGAAAATATTTTCATGAGACTATGTCTGAGGAAGCTAGAGTTTTACATTTCCGGATCTGTATCTCAAATTTCTACTTCCCATTATCATGAATCTGTGGAGAAGCCAAAAAGATGTTAATTCATTGTTATTAATAATCTTGGAAGAATATAAAACAGAGTTCCATGAATTCAGTTAATGACTATATATAGCCCAAGGTTAGAGCACTTAAAAAGACGTTAAGGGAGGACTTTCAGGGGAAGAGATCTTTTACAGGGAATAACCCAGAACATCTAGCGGTTACTACTGCATTCATGATCTAAACACTATGTGTGGGGCTTAAAACTAATGAGAATATCAAGCCTTGCATATCTATTGTCCACTTGTAGAAAATATTTTAGTGATAAGTTAATTATGATTTAGGAATTGTTTTAGAGAAAGGCCATTATTGAAGGTTAGTAAATACATCTCTGCATAATTGCCCTTGGGACCAACTGTTTTGTTTTTTGTTTTTTCCTTCCAGAAGGCTCAGTACTAGGAAGCAGCAGGAAAATGCTGGAAGTCAATAGAAACTGCAAGTCTGGGAATCAGGAGGTTATACTAATTAGCATTAATGAGCAGTGATTTTATGTACTCAAATAGGTTGATTTTGTTCCTATGACATCAGGACTTCTATCAGGCTAAATAACTTCCTTCCTGGTCTTTATTGTACAGACTTAAAAAAATGTTCAAAGTCCCTTTTCAGAGGTTGGCTTCAATGGCTAAATGTGACTTATTCTTGCATAATCCTGGTAGCTACAGAAAACTATAAAGTTGCACTCTGATCATTACTAGCTAAACTTGCTGCCCAGTTACTTAGCTCTCTGGGTCCAAAACCAAGGTTTCAGAAATACATTACTTCAACCTGCAGTCCAAACTTCTTTCTTTTATTATTATTCTTTTATTTTATATGTTTTTTACATCATTCTTCATTTTTCTACAATGTATGATTTCTCCTCTTGGTTATAGTCCTCATGACATTCCCACCACCATTTCACCCGGGTACCATCACCATAGTCTCCTGTACTCTTCCCACCCCTGTTTTGATCCTACTCTCCAGTACCTCCCCCTGCCCCCCTGTAGAATGTCTCTTGTTTATAGTTGCCTGTTGACTTTGATGTTTACTTTATTATAATTACTTTTTCCTTTTTCCTGATCCCTTATTTGGATCTTCTACATTCCTTCTAAAAGTGAAACCATCTGGTATTTTTCTTTATCTTTCTGGCTTATTTCACTGAGCATGATCCCTTCCAGCTCCACCCATGTTGCTGTGCATGGCATGAATTTATCTTTTTTGATTGCTGAATAATATTCTATTTTGTACATGTACCACATCTTCTTGAGTCCAGTCATGTATTTTTGGGCATTTGGGTTGTTTCCATAGCTTACCTATTGTAAATTATGCTGCAATAAACATAGGGGTGCAGGTGTTCTTTTGAATTAATGTTTTTGTGTCCTTTGAGTAGATACTTGGGAGTGGAATTGCTGGATCATATGGAAACTCCATTTTTAGCATTTTGAAGAACCTCCAGACAGCTTTCCATAGTGGTTGGACCAGTTTGCATTCCCACCAGCAATGTAAGAGAGTTCCTTTTTCTCCACATCCTCACCAACAATTGTTGTTGCTAGTTTTTTAGTATGTGCCATTCTCACTGGTGCGAGATGGTATCTCACTGTGGTTTTGATTTGCATTTCCCTGATTACAGTGATATTGAACATTTTTTCATATGCCCTTTGGCCATTTGCATTTCCTCTTTGGAGAAGTGTCCTTTTAGCTCCTCTGCCCATTTTTTGATTGGGTTATTTACTTTGTTTTTGTTAAGTTTCATCAGCTCTTTGTAGATCTTTGTGATAAGTCCCTTATCAGTTGAATGGAGTGCAAAAATTTTCTCCCAATTGGTTGGGTGTCTATTTATTTTGGTTAATGTCTTTTGCTGTACAGAAACTCTTTAATGATGTAGTCCCAGCTGTTTATCCTTTACTTCACTATCTTTGCTTTGGGTGATATGTCTTTAAAGATGTTACTGAGGTGTATGTCATGTAGTCAAACTTCTTTCTTTTAAATGGCAGATTATTTTAAATGCCATATTCTCAGAGCCAGATTTATCCTAGCTAAATAAAGAGGAGGAACAAATATTTTTTAAAATATGAATATTCAAGGAAATAAATATACAAATGATGCTTCTTTGAATCATCTGTATAATTGCTTTAAACTCCCATTTTATTGTACCAATATAAAAGACACAGTTTACATTTCCCAGTTTATAAATTAGGAGGACTAAATTATTTATTTCTCTAACTGCTTTAAATCATAGTTAATGATAAATAATTACAAGTAATCCTCAAAATGAAAAATATTTAAAAATGATGCATTTAGAGCATTTTACTGCTCTAAAGAAAGCACAGAAATATACCTTATATTACAGTGGGTAAGCCCTTCCCTGAAATCTGAAAAGAATTTTGCCTCACTAGTTAGAGAAAAGTTCATCTATAATTGGCAGCATTGAGTGTTATTGCCTTTGTGTCACTTAAACAGAATAGTACTTGCTCAATCTCACAAAGCATTCTTGAGATTTTTGTCACTAATCTAACAAAATGAAGTTAAGCCATATTTTGGAGAGGCAATAGTGTATGTAATATAGTGTTTAAGACTAAAAGCTTGAAACTGGCCCAGCCACTATGGAAAGCTATTTGGAGGACCCAATCCTCAAATTACTAAAAGAGGATCTGCCACATGACCCAGCAATCCCACTCCTAAGAATCTAACCAAAGCACACAAAATATTAATACAAGAGGAAACTTGCACTCCTTTGTTTATCAATAGCACTGTTACAGTAATTAAGTCATGGAAACAACCAAAATGCCCCACAGCAGATGACTGGGTCAAGAACATGTGGTTTATATATACAATGGAATATTATTCAGAAATCAAAAATGATAAACTCATGCCATTTGCAGCAACATGGATGGAGCTGGAAGGGATCATGCTCAGTGAAATAAGTCAGAAGGGAAAAGAATAACATCGTATAGTTTCACTTATAGGAGGAATATAGGGAAAGCAAACAAAGGGTCAAAAAAAGAAAAGAGACAAAACTTGCAGGCAAACTATAGATCTAAGGCATCCAGCAGAGAAGGAGGAGGGAGATGGCTCAAAATAGGGGAAGGAAGAGCACAAGGGACGATGGTGACTGTTCACAGGTGATATGGTGGTGGGAGATATATGGGGACTACACCTGGGGGGAGAAACCAAATATTGTACAAAAATAAACAACCATGTATGAAAAAATAAAGTTTAATCAAAAAAGAAAAGACTACAGGCTTGGGGTCAGACAAACTAGGCTGCATTATTATTCCAAACTATTGGTTCCCTGCAGGATCTATTCTGTGGGCTCTCCCCATGGGAAATATCCCTTAATAGAATGTTAAGCAAGAACTTTAAGGTACATTTCCTGGTCAACCACACATACTCTTTCCATGACCCACCATATCCCAGGTACAGACTACTCCTTTAGCTTAAGAACCTGAATGAAGGATATGAGGAACAGGGCCATGATTCCCTGTAGGCAACATTATGACATAAATTGAAAATGAACTTTGATAAGTTCTGTTAGTGTAATCAACTGGGAATTTGGGATGTACTTACCACCATACTACCCTGCTTGGAATTATACTGAAACTCGTATTGGAAGTAGAGATTCCTACTGTTAAAAAATGCCTCAAGTGGGGCCTCCCTTGTGGTGCAGTTGTTAAAGTCTCAGTGCTATTAAGCTATCTCCAGCCACTGCGGCATGAGTTCAATCCCTGCCAGGGTCTGTCAGCCGCTGCTCCCCTCATCAGTGTATTTAGTCAATCTACCTGTTTTGTTCCCCACTCTGTCTCTAGTGAATCCTCTCACCCCCTGCAGCTCTGGCCTACACCCTAGTTCTTGTATGTATAAATAAATAAAATAAATCCTTACAAATACACCTAAAGTAATGAACTGTTTGAGGACTATACAGAGGGAGGTAAAGAAACCACTATGTAGCAGGAAGCCACTTAGTGATACATTTAGCTAAACAAACAATGTATTTAATTAACTTGTGACTTTAAGTGAGGAAGTGGGAAAATAGAATGCCTGTAGCAAAATTTGGTCACTATTAATTGTATTTGACAAGGTATTTAAAGAAAAAGATGAGTCAGGCAACAATTGACTAATTTGCAAGAAGTAAAAAGGAATAGAAAAAAAAATCTAGAAATTCTCAGATTTGAAATGTTGAACACAAAACTGATGA